CTCTTCGGCACCACCTCAGCCAACGGGGCCTCGGTGATGCTCCACGGGATGGGGCACCCTGCGACCTGTACCGTATATGTGGGTGGGGGACGATGAGCGCGCACTAAGGCAAACTGCGCCGAAGTGGCTGGGTCCCAGGCGGTGTGGTAGACCTCGCAGTCCCATTTGACGGACGGGCCCGTGAGAGTCTTGGCAAGCTGAGTCAGCGTGGCATGGCGTGCCGCAATGCCCGTGATGCGGTATCGCGTCTTGGCGAGAGTGGCTTCGCAGCCACGGATGCTGACGGCAGCGGCCTTGGCGGCGTCTGACCCACGTGCAACACGGATCCCCAATAAGCCTGACTTGCCGTGCCTGACGACTCCTAGGGCTTTGAAGTCCACCGACTTCTGGAACGCCTCTGCCATCGTGATGGCTGGTCCTCGGGGAACCACACGGTCTGGTACTTGTCTGCCGTGGGCTCGTCCGCACCTACGTTGCTGAGGTCGTAGGTGGCGCCGAGTTGCCCCGAACCCGCCAAGACCTTGTCAACTGCTTGAAGACTGACGCCGAAAGTGGCAGCCAGGGACCTTTTTCCGACGCCAGATCCGTACCTGCCTAGACTTTTGCAGGGTTCGAGGATAGTGACGGCTTTAAAGTTGCCGTGGAAAAGGGCCTTGAAGGTGTCCTGCAGCTGACTGTCGAGCTCCTGGCGGCGAGCGTCTTTCTTAGACTCCCTGTGCTTTTGGTTTTGGCGCGCCTTGTCCTGTGGAGCGGAATCCCCTCGGAAAGGACCCTTGGCGCGTGGACCACCGTTCACGGGGGCGCCTCCCGAAAACTGATCCTCGAAGGCCTGATGCATGGAGGGGACTGCGGCGATGGCTTCGGTTTCATGTATGGTCACCCGAATCCAGCATACGTGGTCGGCAGGATCGATGGTGGCGACGGCTACTTTTTCCGTGCAGGCGACTTCCTTGGTGCCCAGCTGGTACACGGTCACGGGGACGTGCGTGTGAACCACATTGGGCGCCTTGGGGTGGCGCTTCAGCACGGGGACGGCGAGCTCGGTGCCGACGTAGTTGTCGTTTTTTGGGCCCATGACAGCGATCGCGAGCTGACCCGTGGTACGCTTACCCTGCTCGAGATGGTGCTGCAGCAGCCGCTCGCCACTCTCGTAGTCGTGGAGGCTGATGCTGGGCTTGTACGTCTTGCCGTCGTCGAGTGATGTGGGTTCGGCCAGGACTGGGACCTTCCAGAAGGCCGGGTCCAAGGCAATAAATTTGGCGTCCGCAGCCTGAAGACGTGCGGACGCAGCTGGTGGATAGGTTGTGTCACCACCATTGCGCTTAGGCTTGCTGCGCTGGTGGTGATCCAGCGTGTAGCTGATTTGGTTGGCGGCACACATGCGAATCAAGGCACTGCCGAGCTTCTTGGTGTTGGTCTTGTGCATGTCGTACGTGGCCTGCAGCTCGTCCGCGTTCAGCTCGGCGAGCCCGTTGTATGCGGCTGTGGGGCGGTCAGACCCCGCTTGCTTGAAGGCTGCAATGCAGTCCTGTTTGCGTTGGAGGAGGGATCCTTCAGCTGCAGGACGTGAGCTCGGCGGCTGCTTGGAAGAGCGACGGCGCTCCGGCTTGGCGGGGGCCATTGCGGCGGGCGCTCTGGTGGGAGGGAGGATGGGACGCAAATCAGTACCGCGCTGCTGGCGCGGTTCCGGTCTCGCGAGGCCTGGAGTCGGGACTCCAGAGCGGGGCGCTTCGCGTCGCGGCTACGCTATGAGTGCAGGGCACTCTCGAGCCGAGACTCGAGGAGGAGGAGAGAGAGAGAGAGAGAGAGAGAGGAGGGAGAGGAGGGAGGGAGGGAGGGAGGGGGGGAGGATGGAGGGAGGGGTGGAGGAGGGAGGGAGGGAGGGAGGGAGGGAGGGAGGGAAGGGCGGGAGGGAGGGAGGGAGGGAGGGAGGAGGGAGGAGGATGAGGAGGAGGAGAGAAGGAGGAGGAGGAGGAGGAGATGGAGGAGGAGGAGGAGGAGGAGGAGGAGGAGGAGAGGAGGGAGGTGATCAGACGACGACGTCGGCGACGGGGACAAAGACGGCGACGACGACGACGTCTCCCAGGACCCGTTCCTGGGTGAGTTTTGCGCAGGTCGTCGTGCTCGTCGTTGTCGTCGTCGTCGTCCTCGTCCTCGTCCTCGTCCTCGTCCTCGTCGTCGGTGTCGTCGTCGAGCTCAGCGGCGGGTGCAGCCGTAGCGAGGACGGCGCCCAGGCCCTCGGGCCCTCCCGGGGCGGGCCCTCGCCGCCAGCGCGCGGCCGAACTCCGGCGGGCGGCGCGAGGGCCGAGGGACGGGGGTCGGTGCCAACGGGAGTCGGCCTGGGGGATCCATCGGGGCCCTCCTGGGGCCGTCGGGGGGGGGCCGTCGGGGAGCCACCGCGGAGGCCTCTTAAATTCGGACCTAGGCCAGAAGAACACCCCTCAAGAACACGAGACCCTCCGTCGACCAAGACGGACAGAGCATCCAAGGGTACCGTCCACAAGATGCACAAGAACATCCAACAAACACGAAGAACACGAGGGTACCCTCCCCGAACCGACCTCGATCTTGCACCTCGGCCCGACTGTAGGCGCCCTTGGGGCCGCCTGGGCGGCCCCCCTCCCCGACGCCCGGGAGCCCCGCGGCGGTGCGGCCGCGGAGCGTGCGGCGCCGCCTCGCGGGCCGCCGGGGCCCCACCGCCCGGCCCGCCACCGCGCCGCCGCGGGAGCCCCCGTGGAGGCCCCCCCGACGGCCCCGTGGAGCGCCGGCTCTCGGGGGATCCTGCACAGCCAGGATCTCGAGAGAATGACAAAACACAGCAAAATCACATCGATTCTTGAGGTAGGAAGGCTCTAGACGCAGATTGGGATCTGGGAGCCCCAGAAATACCCACTTTCAACGACTGGCGTGTAATCGTCGCGGGGCACCGCAGAGGGCGGGAGCACACCGAAGGCGGGTCTGCTCATCGCATGGCACCCCTGGAGCGTGGCACCCCTGGAGCGTGGCAGCACAGCCCGAGATCTCGGGTCGCGTTGACCCGGGCTCTGGGTGACGATCCTGCAGGATCCTGCGGTCTCCTGCCGAGCCTGACCGACCCGGGCTTGGATCGACCCGTGGGAGCAGGTCACCCAGCGGCGTGATGGGGGCAGCCTCGTGAGAGGGCGGTTGGCGCCCACGCTAAGACGTTGACAGAAGGACTACCCCGTCGGAGGAGGAAAAGGTACCCATACCGCTACCCTTCGCCCGTTTTCTCCCTTTTTGGGCCTCTTGGGAGGTCCTCGTCGCCACCGCTGGATTCGCCTCGAAATCATGGTCAGAACGCACCCCGGGAGAGTTCTGGGGAGTAGCGGTATTGGTGCTTTTGGTTTCTCCAAAGGTGCTGACATAAGGACTACTTCGGGCAGAGGAGACACTTTTTGTTTTGATCTCCCAGCGGTAACGGGCGTGACTGGCGGGGAGGATACGACCCTCCCGATACCCCTTCGCATCTCTCTGGCAGGTTCCCGGAATAATGCCCAGATGCGCTGGGAGTTCCGCCTGGGCGATCTCAGCGATGCAGCCACCGCCTGGTCGTACTGCACCCTTGCTAACGGCCAACCCGAATGAACGCTGGAAGGGAGGCGGCGTGCAGAGGAGGTGGGGAGGGGGCCGCTTACGTCACGATTCGCGCCGGCGCCGTCTGGAAATTCCTGTAGGCCAGACGTCGCTGGCGCGAATCGTGACGTGACCAGGGAAGGGGGAGGGGAGGGCCGGGCGGGGCCAGTCACTTGCATCGTCCAGCGCATATCCAAGGAATCCGCGCGGAGCGCCAACAGGTTACGTTTATGGCGTTGTTTTTCCTTTCATTGCATGCCCCGAACCATGAAGAAAAAACGGGCTCCAGGAGGGGCTCCAGCTCGGGGGCCGTTCCTCAGGTCTGGCTTCGGGAGAGCCCGTTCGTGGCCGCGGCTCGCCGGGGGCCAGAGGCGCCTCGTCGGTCCCTAGTCAGCGCTCCTTCCAGCGGTTTTCCAAGGCTGCCGCTGCATGCCTCCCCTCCGGCACATGCGTGGCTACCTCCGCTGGCCGCGCCCCGCTCCGTCGACGTGGCCTTCCGAGGCCCTGGCATCCTCATCGCGCATTCTTGCCATCAGCGCGTACACCTTAGGCGATGCTTAAGAAAACTTGAGTTTTCGGCCAGAGTCTCGATTATTCTTAATGTTTCAATGTGAATCCTGATATTTGACTGGGAATGTTGGGTTTTTATTCAAGCTCTGAGACTACGAATTTCTGAACCCATGATTTGTTAAGCATTTCGCAGGGTGTGCTGTATGGCAGCGCGATCGCCGCACGAGGGCGGGGGGGCCACTCGGAAGGGCCTCCCTGCTCCCGCGGGGCTCCTCGCAGGAGCCCCCCTCGGGGCCCTCTTTTCGAGGGGGGCCTCCTCGGCCCGCGGAGGGCCGCTCCCACCCCGCGGGGGGGCGCCGCCGGCGTCTCGCGCCGGGGCGTGTGCACGCAGCTTCGCCTGGCCTGCGCGCGCAGCACGGAGCGACCGACACCGAGACCCGCCTTTCGGTTTTAAACTTTTCCCTTTAAATGTATATATTTTTTTCTTCTTCCCCTTTGGATACTATTTATAGTATACAATGGGTTTATACATTGATCTTAAATTCCAACTTATTTGAAAAAGTAGGAACCAGTTAACTTTAATTGATGACGTCGACGAGGTGCTCGGCGTTGCCATCCGTCGGCCAGTTCAGGTGCGTTCTGCGTGCGGGTCGTTTTCGGCACGGGTCGTTGGCCGCCTCGGCTGCTTCACGTCTGTTCTTGCTTGTTCGTGGTCGCTACTGGGCGCCAGCAGGCGCCAACAGACGCAAGTCGGCGTGATTGGGCGCTATAGTGGGCGCTAGCAGGAGCTAACATGGACACTCGTAGACACTGATGGGCGCTAATGGGGCGGAATCTGTCTCAGAACCACCCTCGCACGCAGTACACATTCGCGCATTCGCGCGCGCCGCCCTTAGGCCATGGAGAAGTGCGACCCGTCCGCGAACTTCTTCGGCTTCATGGGGGTCAGCAGCGCGATCGTCTTCGCCAACTGCGGCGCGGCCTACGGCGCGCCCCCCCCGCGCACGGGGGGGGGAGAGTACCACGGTAGGTTCGCGTCGTGTCGACCGGCGGCGACCCCGCCGCGGGCGTTCAAGGTTGAACGCCGCCAGTGGCCCGGAATCGGTCGATGTTGAACGATCGGACGTTGCGGCAGCGGCCGATCGTTCAAGGCTGAACGATCCCTGCAGTGTCAAAAACCAACGCTGGGGTCGGCACGACACGAACCTGCCGTACCTTGGGCGGCCGCGCGGGGGGGAGGTGCGCGCCCCTCTCCCCGGGGGATGCCGCCAGCCATCCAGTGCAACGTCCGCGGTGTGCGGTGGGCGCAGGGGGGCGCACTGGCTTCGCTGTGGGCTCGGCCGCCTCCGCCTGCTCGCGCTCGCCCCGCTCGCGCGTTCGCGCGCTCTCGGGTGCGTCCGCCGCGGCCGCGGCGGTCGGGCGCTTCGTCGGGCAGAGGAACGCTCGTGGGGCGCGAGAGGCAGAAAGGCAGGCTCGTAGAGGGGGGTTGTCCCAAGGTGGGGTCTGGGAGCCCAGCCGGATGCTCGCGCCTTGATGTTCCAGGGGCCGTCTGGAGCGATGTTTCTCTAGCCCCGTCTCTGCCCCTACCCCACTTTCACGTCCCGCCGAACGTTGGGCGACTGGCGCAGGGGGCGCATCGACCCCCGCCCACTCGTCGCCGCTGGGGGCCCGACGGTCCGCCCCTCCCAGGGATCAAGTGATGATATCCGATGTCGGGGGCTTGTCGCCTGCCCGTCGGCGCGGCATTGCCCATTCGAGCTCGATGTTTTCCCCCCGTGGCCGGTCCCCCCCCCGAGCGTTCTCCCTCAGGTCAGGAGGAGGAGGAGGAGGAGGAGGAGGAGGAGGAGGAGGAGGAGGAGGAGGAGGAGGAGGAGGAGGACGAGTACCAGGAGGAGTACGAGGCGGAGTACGAGGAGGAGGAGGTGGTGGTCACCGCACTAGGTCGGGGAAGGAGCGGCGACACCATCTCGAGGGGGCCCAGCTCCAGCGAGGGAGTCCACGATGCCTCCCGAGCTGGGGACGGGTAGTGTCTCGAGCGACATGGGGGATAACGCCACCAGGAGGGCCGGTCCTGCCCGGTGCTTCGCGCTGGTGTTGGTGGTGGTGTGGTCTTCATCGAAGACGCCTGCGGCGAATCACCGCCGCCCCCTGCCTTGGGGAAGAGCCTCTGTGGCCGAACGTTGCGGCTAGAGCTCGGCCAGGCTACAGGACTGCGTCCTTCCCCAGCCGTAGTGGAAACGCTTCGGGGAGCACGAGGGGCAGAAAGAAAAAAAGGAGGAGAGGAAGGATAAGGGAGGAGGAGAAGGAGGAGGAGGAGGAGAGGGATGAAGAGGAGGAGGAGGACCGGTGTAATACCTTCATCACAGGCTCATGCCCCGTTGGAAGAACAACATCCCTGGGATCCAACGCCGCGAATCATCGCTTCTGTTGCGTCCTGACGATCTCGATCCGTGCCCGAACACCATTCTTGGGACTTCAGCACCGCGAATCAACGTCAGTGATGCGCCCTGACGTTCCGACCTCGTGCCAGAACGCAATTTCTGGGGCGCTAGCCATGGGAATCGTGGAAATTCTTGCAAGCTCTCAAGACAGATGTGCGCGGCGATCTGGTGAGAGCCACCTTTTGAGAAGGAGCCGCCCTCCTCCCGTGAAGCTCTTGCAACTTTTGGTGAAGAATGTGCGCGGCGCGAAAGCGAGAGCCACATTTTGAAAAGCGGACCGCCCTCCGTCCGCGAAGCTCTTGCGCATGTCAAGCTTCAGGATCTTGCGGAGGAAGTCTCAGGCGAAGCGCCCGGCCAGCCCTTGCCGCAGGCTTTGGGGCGTGACACGCAGGAGTTATGCAGAAGGAAAAGGAATGGCGGTCGAGGAGGAGCAGGAGGAGAAGGAGGAGGAGGAGGAGGAGGAGGAGGAGGAGGAGGAGGAGAATGAGTAGCAGGAGGAGGAGGCGAAGGCCTCTTGGGAGCCTCTTGAGGCACTCTTTGGGACATCCTGGGACATCCACCACCCCGTGCACACAGGGGGCGGCGGATTTGCTTGCCTTCGGCGCATCCCACCACCGTGCCAGGGTTCAGGCTCCGAAACATTCAGTCATGCGGGAAGCGCTGGGGAAGCGCGGGAGGCAAGCCGGGAATCACCGACATTTGAGGACCTGAGGACTACAAGAGACCCGCGGGCACTCCAACTCGTGCTTCGCAGCAAATTGGCGGACTATTCACGTGTCCTCCTAGTAGCGCGACGACTGTACACTGTTGCCTCGGGTGCGCCCGCTATGAGGGAAATCCTGGAGGCCTCGCGCTGCTCCGACGTGCGTCCAGCATAAATCTGACGTGGCGGACTTGCCCCTACTTATCAAGCCCTCTGTCCGAGTCAAAATGGCCAAAGGATCCTTCGCATCGACGATGCATCGATGGTGCGGCTCGATGTGGAGCCAGAGTTTCTCCACGCTGACGGCGCCGATGCATCGATGTTGTCGGCGATGCATCGTCGATGCATCGCACATGCATCTGCGATGCATTGGCGATGCGGCGAGATCTTCCGACCCCGTCTGCAGTCAACCCGTATAGCAGGGATGAATGGCTTTCTCATGCCACCCTTGCATCCTTCCCTTTCGGCCCATCCTTGTCCGCTTTCGCTGGCCGCGCCCCGCTCGCAGAGTGTCAACATGGCCTTCCCAGGCCCTTGTATCCGTATCGTGCGTCGTTATTATACGGGTTGACCGTCCTCGGACTCCATCTAGGAGGCCTCCAACTCAGGCTTAGCGCCCCGCACCGTGCAAGCGCGCTTCCGGCTGCCTGCGTGGGAACCCACGCGCCAGGGACGTGAGCGGGCTTGGCGCCCCCCGGGGCCTGGTCTCGCGCACGCTGGGCCGACGGCGGGGACGGAAACGGCTGCACAGCGCGCCGAGGGGCTTGTCGTGAAGTCGGTCGGTGATGATGATGATGATGATGATGATGATGATGATGATGATGATGAGGATGAGGATGAGGATGAGGATGAGGATGAGGATGAGGATGATGATGATGATGATGAGGATGAGGATGAGGATGATGCTGATGCTGATTCTGATGCTGATGCTGAAGATGATTATGCTGCCAGCCATGATGATGATTCCGCTGCTGCTGCTGATGATGAGGATGAGGATGATGCTGATGCTGATTCTGATGCTGATGCTGAAGATGATTATGCTGCCAGCCATGATGATGATTCCGCTGCTGCTGCTGATGATGATGATGATGATGATGATGCTGATGATGATGATGATGATGATGATGATGATGATGATGAGAAGGATGAGGAGGTTGTGGATGAGGATGGGAATTAGGATGAGGATGATTCGGATGAATCTGACTATCACGACGACGACGATAACGGCGGCCACGGCGACGGCGACGACGCTGGTGGTGGTGGTCGTTGTGATGATGATGATGATGATGATGATGATGATGATGACGATGAGGCGGACGAGGTTTATGATGAGGATGCGGATGATGATGATGATGATGATGATGATGATGATGATGATGATGATCATGATGCCGATGATGATGATGCTGCTGCTGATGATGATGATTATGGTGATGGTGATGGTGATGCTGATGATGGTGATGCTTATGCTGCTGATGATGCTGATGATGCTACTGATGATGGTGATGATGACGAGGACGATGGTGATGATGATGATGATGATGATGATGCTGATGCTGATGCGGATGCTGCTGACGATGATTCTGATGATGATTTAGTGGATGATGGTATAGGTGATAAAGATGATGCTGATGACGATATTGATTATGATGGTGATGCTGATACTCAGGATGATGATGATGATGCTGCTGACGACGGTGATGATGATGCTGATGATGATGCTGATGCTGGTGATGATGATTCTGATTATGATGATGATGATGATGATGCTGATGATGATGATGATGATGATGATGATGATGATGGCGATGCTGATGATGATGCTGATGATGATGCTGATGATGCTGATGATGCTGATACTGATGCTGATGATGATGCTGATGATGATGCTGATGATGCTGATGATGCTGATACTGATGCTGATGATGATGCTGATGCGGATGGTAATGCTGATGGTGATGCTGGTGATGATGATGACGATGATGACGATGATGATGATGCTGATGGTTATGATGATGCTGATGATGATGTTGATGATGCTGCTGATGCTACCGGTGATGATGATGACGATGATGATGATGATGATGATGATGATGGTGATGCTGGTGATGCTGGTGATGATGAGGAGGAGGAGGAGGAGGGTGATGATGATGATGATGATGATGATGATGATGATGATGATGATGATGATGATTATGACACTGATGCTGACGCTCATGATGATGATGATGATGATGGTGGTGGTGATGATGATGCTGCTGCTGCTCATGATGATGATGATGATGATGGTGGTGGTGGTGGTGGTGATGATGATGAGGAGGATGATGTTGATGATGATGATGATGATGATGATGATGGTGGTGGTGGTCATGGTGATAATGATGATGCTGATGATGATAATGATGATGATTATGATGATGATGCTGATGTTGATGATGATGATGATGATGATGATGATGAAGATGCTGATGATGATGATGATGATGATGATGATGATGATGATGATGATGATGAGGATGTGATGAGGATGAGGATGAGGATGAGGATGAGGATGAGGATATGATGAGATGATGATGATGATGATGATGATGATGATGATGATGATGATGATGAGATGAGGATGGTGATGAGGATGAGGAGTGAGGATGGATGAGGAGGAGGAGGAGGAGGAGGAGGAGGCGGCGGAGGCGGATGGGGGAGGAGGTAGGAGGGAGGAAGGAGGAGTGAAGGAGGAGGAGGAGGGAGGAGGAGGAGGGAGGAGGAGGAGAGGAGGAGGAGGAGGAGGAGGAGGATGAGGAGGAGGAGGAGGAGGAGGAGGTGGCCGTGATAGGAGGATCCGCAGAAGGCATCTGAACATAACAACATCAGCAAGCCAGGCCAGGGCCATCCATGGCTGTCCTCGGCGAGGGGCGCTTTTGCGCCGTGCTGGGGCCCAGGATTGCCCTGGCCAGGCGTGATGTGATGGGCCTGTTTTCCACCACCACCATAAGTTGGAGGGGGGAGGTGGTCCTCCTCCCCTTCGTCTTCTGAGGTCCTCCTCCTCCTCATCCTCCACCTCCTTCCCCCCTCCAACTTGCGGTGGTGGTGGTGGAAGACAGGCCCATCATGATGGTGGTGCACAGGTAGCTACTGCGCAGAGGAGAGTCTGGGCTTCTTGTCCGTGCTGGCCTCTCCTGGGCCCTGCGGGAGGCGTCCCGCCGCCGCGGCTGGAGCCGCCACGGAGCTCTCGTTCCAATGCGGCCCCGGAGAGATCCGGGGCTGCTTCCGGAGGGGGGCGGAGGAGGAGAGATTCTGGAGGGGGGGCTGATTCTGGAGGGCTGATTCTGGAGGGGGACGGAGGAGGAGAGATTCTGGAGGGCTGACTCTGGAGGGGGGGCTGATTCTGGAGGTGGAGGACAAGGATAAGGACTCGGGGGTCCCCAAGCGGGGTGGTGACCACACCGTGCGGTGAGTCGGTGGGGATTCGGGGTCACCGCACGGTTTTGGGGCTCGGGTCGTTCTCCGAGGCCGTCCCGGGCGACAGGGGCCTCCAGGGTCCCAAAGCCGTGCGGTGACGGACCGCGCGGTGAGGTCCGGAGGACAAGGATAAGGACGAGTAGGATAGGAGTTGGAGGAGGAGAGACTCGAGTGAGCACGTGGTGCATCCACGATGCTGCAACATGCCCTCCTGTCCCACGTTCCCCCCGCATGTCGGGCCCCGTTTCGGCTTTGGCCTCATGTTTCGCAGGTGCTCTCCCCGATCCATTGGATCTCTCGTTCGCGCGCCATGTCCATGGATCCGTAGTCCACGTTGGCGTGATTCTCCGCACGAGTCACTGCACGTACTGCGTGCCGCTCCGTACTCGGGGAGAGGCCCCTTGAAAGACGAGCGCCCCGCGGTCGTGCCAGTCAGGCGAGAGGCCCTCTTTGTAACGGGAGCCGCTGTCTATCCCTTCAGCTCTTTGTGAGAATTACCACAGTGTTGGATCGCAACGTTGAAGCAGCCATCAAGCGACAGTCTCGTTTTTGAACAGAAGGCGCCCTCCATCCGCGTAGCTGTTTTACATGTCAGCGTTGTGCTTCAGAAAGACGGAGACAGTCTCAGGCGACAACCCCATTTCGAAAAGGGTTTACCCTCCATCCGTGCAACTGTTCGGATATTGTAAGACGAGTGTGCGCGGCGCCAAGCCTTGAGCCACAACATCGAGCACCGTTTCACCTTCAGCCCGAAACTTCCTCGACGACTGCCCCCTCCTCATTGCTTTTCCCCCTCCCCTCCCCGCGGTGCCATCCGAGATCGGTGGAGACGCATTCGTGTGGGCCTCCAGAAGCGCCCAGAAGATTCGGCCACTCCTCGGGTGGATCACACCACTCATGGACGAGACCACCGCACGCCCAGGGCTCTGGGCCCCAGAGCAGTGTCTCTTCATCAAGGGGCAGCGCTCTGGCGGCTACGGGGACTGGGGAGGCGGCTCCGAGAGGGTCGGCGGCTCCCTGGCTCCTCGCTGTCCTGCCTGTCTTGTGTCGCTTGCCTTGCCCCCGTTTCTCTGTCGGTCCGCCCCGCTGTCCGAGTAAGAGGTGCGGGGCCTGCGCTGCCACGCTGGCGAATTGTCGCGCAGTTTGGCTCCTTTTGCGATGCTGCTGACTACATTCTTGGCGACGCCCCTGGCGCTCTCCGCGCGCCGGGCGATGGGTGCGGTGTCGGTGGGAGATGGATGCATTCTCGATCGATCGATGCGTCCTCGAGCCCGACGGGCGTTGGCTTGAGCCGTGGAGACGGACCGCTGGAACGGGGAACGCCAGCGCCAAGAGAGAAGGCCATCGCTTCCTGCAGTGCGGTTTGCCATCCAACACAGCAGCCATCGCTTCAGCAGAGTACACGCCGGTCGTTGAAAGTTGGCATGTCTGGCTTTCCAGACTCCAATCTACTTCGAGCGCCTTCCTACTTCAAGAGTCGATCTGCTGCTGCTGCGTTTGTTTCTTCTTGGAGGGCCCGGACCCGGTCTGCTTTGTCCGCCTTCCTGCTTCATGTTTGCGACCTGCGTGCAGGCTGCACGTGGAAAGGTTCACGGAGCCCCGTGATGGCGCCCTGCTCGCGGATCATCCGTGCTGCCAGGTCTCCCTGACGGCCCCTTGGAGTTCTGCGCGGGGGTTACGTGGGCGCCGGCAGCTGGACGCGAAATGCACCCCAGCCACGAGCCCAAGAACTGTGACCGCTACCTGCTCGCAGTTTGCACTCAACGTGGGAAGCATGGGCGCCACCTGGCATCAAAATGCTCAGGCCTTCTTAGAGAAAGGCCGAGAGAATATGCAGCGGATCGAAGATGGCCTCTGGCCTCGGCGCGGAGGAGTGCCGAAGGCTCTTCGGCCCGTGCTCCTCGACCGCAGGGACTTCAAGCGGCGGTGTCGGCGGCCTCTGGCGGAGCCGAGGCCGCGGCCTTGCGAGGGTTGTCCGTCCGCCTCTGTAGCCGGTCCTGTCCTGCCTTCGGGGGGTGGGGCGACTGGCTGCGTGAGATTGCGGTGGTGCCTTGGCTCGGGTCCCGCCCGTGTCGAGGCACCGCCGTGCGGGGGCTGCTTTCGTTCCCCCCACTCCCTCCTTCCTCCCTCCACCTCCCAGTCAGAGACGATCATCTGCAGTCTTGCCCTTTTTGTTCTCTCCATTTCGGGGGCTCAGCTGGGTGGTGGCGCTAGTGTTAACTCGCAGAGTGTATGCGCCACCAACCTGCACAGCCGCAAAAGGAGCACGCACTCTGCAGTGCCCCGCGTCGCATCAACCCTCCTCCTTCGCTGCACGACCCTGTCCTTGGTCAACAGGTCCAACATGTTTCTTGTTCTTTCTTTTCCCGGCCCTTCTCCTCTCACCTCCCCTTTTGCAATTACGCAGTATTAATACTTCTCTCCTCTCCCCCCTGACTCTTGGCATCGCTCGGACGTGTGCATCTTTGGCGAGGACCACCGAGGAGCATCCTGGATCATCGAGTAAAGCAACACGCGCGAACACGAACCATGCATGAGGAATGGACGTCCGAGCGATGGCGAGGTCTCCGTCTGGATGATAGCTGGTTTGCTTGTCTCATGTTTTTTCAATCCGATGTTTCGGTGGTTCGAAGTGGTGTTCTTGCTGCCGCGTGGGCTTCATTTTCGTATCGGCGCCGTGCTCCCAGCGTTCAGAATGGCGCTCTCGCCCCAGTGCAGGCCACTTTTCTGGACCCGAGTTTTTATTATCGACGCCATGCTTATTTTCCCTCCTCCTTCCCCTGGTCCTCCTGCTCCTCCTGCCCCTTTCACTCCAGTTCCTGCTGCCGCTGTCCGTCCTCGTTCTCCTCCTTCCACGTGCTTCTCCTTTTCCTCCGCCTCCTCCTGCTCATCCTCCTGCTCACCTGGCACCTCCTGCTCCTTCTCCTCCTCCTGTGTACGCAGCTCCCCTTCTCCGATTGCGCATAACGCGGTGGGGCCTTCTTTGTGAGTGTCAGGTCGGCTGTGACACGCGTCCGCGGACACAGACACATCAGCGCAATGGGAAGGGATGGGAGGGAGGGCATCGGATGGCAGATGTGGCGCGAGCGCACCTGGCTTGCCCCTCTCCTCTCTCCTCTCTCCGTTCCCTATCCCCGCCCCTTGCCCCCTCCCCCCTTCTCTCCACTCCACTCCACCTCACCTCCCTTCGAATCGCCCTCCTCTGTTCCCTCCCCCTTCCCCGCCCCTTCCCCTTCTCTCTTCTCCCCTCCCCTCCCCTCCCCCTCCCCCTCCTCCCTCCTCCTACCTCCGTGCCTCCCTCCCTCTCTTCCTCCATCCCTCCACCTCCTGCCCCCTCGCTCCTTGTCCCCTTCTCTTTCGCCTCCACCGCGCCCCCTCCCGCCCCTGGCTCCGAGGCACGGCGAAGTCCGGCGTTGGGATCGCGAACTTGGGCGTCATGCGTCCCGACATGGCCCCAGGGGGGGGGAAAGAAGAAGAGGAGGAAAGGGCGGGAGGAGGAGCAAGGAGGTGGCGGGAGAAGAGGAGGAGGATGAGGAGGAGGAAGAGGAGGAGAGCAAGAGGGCATGGCGTGGCGCAGGGGGAATGGACGTCGCCAGGGCCACGCCCCGACGACGGTGGTGATGCTGCCGGTGATGCTCATGATGACTGCTATGACGGTGCCGCGAGGTGACAAGATGGCGAGGTGGTTGTGGTGATGGCGGGGTGCAGATGGGACCGATGATGGTATTGATGATGCGGAGGATTATATTGACGACGATCTGATGTAGATTATTGGTGAGGATCATGTTGATGAGGATGACGATGACGATCACGATCACGATTTTGCGGATGCTGATGATGCTGATGATGATGGTGATGGTGATAGTGATGGTCATGGTGATAAGGATGCTGATTATGATGGTGCCCATGCTGTTGATGTTGATGATGGTGGTGATGATCATGATGCTGGTGATGCTGGTGATGATTATGCCGAGTTGCTGACGATGACGACTATGATGCTGATGATGGTGGCGATGCAGATAATGCGGAATATAATGATGATGAGGAGGATGAAGATGATGCCGATGCGGCTGCTCATGATGAGGACGACGAGATTGATGATGATGGCGCTGATGGTGATCATGAAGATTATCATGGTGATGCTACTGCTGCTGCTGCTGATGATGCTGATCATGATGATGGTGGTGATGACGATGCTGATGATGATGATGATGATGATGATGATGATGAGGATGCTGCTGCTGAGCGATGATGATGATGCGATGCTGGTGCTGAGGATACATACTGATACGCATGACGATGATGGTGGTGATAATCAATGATGATGGTGTCGATGATGACGATGGGTACGACGACGATGATGATGATGATGATGATGATGATGATGGTGACGACAGACCTGATTATGATCATGCCAATGATGATGCTGCTACTGTCGCTGACGACGTTGATGATGATGATGATGATGATGATGATGATGATGATGATGATGATGATGATGATGATGATGATGATGATGCTGACGATGACGGTGATGATGCTGTTCATGATGATGCTGCTGCTGCTGATTATGATGAGATGCGGACGATGCTGATGATGATGGTAACAACGCTGAGGCTGCTGCTGCTGCTGCCAATGCTGCTGCTGCTTCTGCTGCCGATGATGGTGCTGTGGACGATGATGATGATGATGATGATGATGATGATGATGATGATGATGATGATGATGATTATGATGATGATGATGATGATATGGATGACGACGATGATGATGATGAGGATGATGATGATGATGATGATGATGAAGATGAAAATGATAATGATTATGATGATGCTACTGATGATGATGTTGATGATGGTGATGATGACGATGAGGATGATAATGCTGGCTGTGGTGACGGTTTTGAGAGCGTCGTCAAGGACGCGGCAAATTGGATGAAGATGTTGAAGATGTTGTCGATGATGCTGAAGATGATGATAATACTGCTGATGATGACGATGATGGCGATGACGATGTCGATGACGACGACGATGCGGATGATGATTATGACGATGGTGATGATGATGCTTGTAACGATGATGATGGTGATGGTACTGCTGGTGATGATGATGCTGATGATGCTGATGATGCTGATGATGCTGATGATGATGCTGGTGATGCTGATGATGCTGATGATGATGACGATGATGGCGATGACGATGTCGATGACGACGACGATGTGGATGATGATTATGACGATAGTGATGCTGATGCTTGCAATGATGATGATGCTGCTGATGATGATGATGATGGTACTGATGTTGATGATGCTGATGATGCTGATGATGCTGATGATGCTGATGATGATGCTGATAATGGTGATGATGATCCGGCTTATTATAATACTGATCATGGGTGGTGATGGTGATGATGACGGATCTGACCAGTATGTTGATGCTGCTGATGATGATGCTGCTGCTGATGATGATGATGCTGATGCTGATGATGCTGATGATGCTAATGCTGATGCTGATGATGATTAGTATTATGATGATTATGATGGTGGTGATGATGATTCTGATGACAGATATGACCAATATGATGATCTGATTAGTGTTAGCACGAGAAGGGGCTTGGAGGGAGTGATCAGGAGGAACGCACAAAGGACAAACCAGTGTCTACGTATGCGATTGGAGACTAAGGTAGTGTGCATGCTGGCTGCTACAGTAGTGGTTCAACATCTACTGCAGACACGGGTGGCAAGGGCTCCCCAGGGCCCAGGGTATGGGGAAGGCTCCTACAAGGGATCCTTTGGCGTTCTTAGCTCGTTGTGAACCACTCACGCGCAGTTCGAACCCCCTCTCCTTCCCATGAAAGACAGGGGTGAGTCCACCCTTGGTGGGTTGACTCCCGCACTTGTTAAGCAAGTTGCGATGCGTCGAAGTTCTACAGAGCCGTAACATGTGACTCGCCCTCAGTAGGTTCCCCGCCAATGTTGCCCTCCGATCAAAAGCCGGCCCGGAGGAAAGGGTCGGGATTTCTGGGGGCCCCGTGTTTCGAGAATATCGGTGCCTCGGATCTTTCGAGCTCGATGCATAGGAGTCTCCAGCGCCAGGAACAACAACAATAGCCATCTATATATATATATATATATATATATATATATATATAATCATACGCACCTCTCCGAGGGAGTAGAGCTCAGAGGCGATTAATGCGTACGCGGGGCGTTCACGATTTTTCTGGCCGTTTCGTTAGGGACATCTTCGAAATTCTGAAAATCAGTGGCACCCCTCACGCAAATCGTGAAGTCAGGGTCCAAAACCACATGGGAATTTCAACATTTCAACATAACACCTTCAAACACATTTTGACCCCGATTCTCAGAGAATGGCGTTTTCGCTTGAAACATCCTCCCAAAATCGAGCCCCCACGTACCCTCTGGTACCCCAGACCCCGCCTCGGAGCCTCATGGGGGCCTCCTGGAACCTCCTGGGGCCTCCTGGGGCTTTCTGAACCTTCTGGTACCCCAGACCCCGCCTCGGAGCCTCAGGGGGGTCTCCTGAAACCTCCTGGGGCCTCCTGGGGCCTCCTGCGGCCTCCTGGAGCCTCTTGGGGCCTCCTGAAGCCTCTTGGGGTCTCCTGGGACCTCCTGAGGCCGCCTGGGGCCTCCTGGGGCCTCCTGGGGGCTCAGAACTACATGCACACACAGGGTCACAAAGCACGCCCAACACATCACACGCTAGACAAACATAACACACACACAACACCTACAACGCACAAAAAAACACGCACAACACAGAGCACACATCACACACACACCCACACAACACTCACAATCCTGGGGCCTCCTGGAGCCTCTTCTGGTATCCAAGTCGGGTCTCCTGAGGCTTCCTGGGGGGCCTTGGTACGCACATCGCAAGGTGTGGCAACCCCACTTGCGCTCGAGTGCGACTTCGCTGTTGCATTTCACTCCTGCTTCAAACGCCCCTTCAGTTTTTTGTATGAGCCTGGGCACACACGTGCCACTTGTATATACACACGTGTTCAGTTGTTTATATATGTATGACAGTATGTATGCATGTATGTATGTATACATGTATGCATGCATGCATGCATGCATGCATGCATGTATGTATTTATGCATGTATGCATGCATGCATGCATGTATGTATGTATATATATATGTATGTTTGTGTATATCTATGTATGATTGTACGTAAGTACGTACGTATGCATGCATGCGTGCATGTATGTGTGTATGTATGTATGCATGTATGTATGTAATGTAATGTGCTGTAATGTAATGTAAGGTATGTATGTATGTATGAATGATTGTATGTATGTATGTATGTTTGTATGTATGTCTGTATATATATATATATGTATGTATGCATGCATGTATGCATCTATGTATGCACGTATGTATGTAGAGTATGTTGCATGTATGCATGTATGTATGCATGTATGTATGTGTGTGTATGTATGTATGCATGTATGCATGTATGCATGTATGCATGTATGTATGTATGTATGCAAGTCTGTATGTATGTATGTATGTCTGTATGTCTGTATGGCTGTCTCTCTGTCTGTCTGTATGCATGCATGTATGTATGCATGCATGCATGCATGTATGCATATCTGTATGCATGTATGCATGCATGTATGTATGTATGTAAGTAGGTACGTACGTACGTACGTACGTACGTACGTATGTATGTATGTATGTATGTATGTATGCATGCATGTATGTATGTATGTATGTATGTATATGTATATGTATATATGTATAGATCTATGTATGTATGTATGTATGTATGTATGTATGTATGTATGCATGCATGCATGCATGCATGCATGCATGCATGCATGTATGTATGTATGTATGTATGTATGTATGTATGTATGTATGTATGTATGTATGTGTATTAATATACATACACACATATACATCTACATATATATATATATATATATATATGTATACACACCCGGCTACAGGGATGGGGGCCCCCGGCCCGGTGCCCCAACCCCCCATGAGTGCTCCGGGCCATCGGGGGCGTTCCCGGAGAGGCCCCCGGCCAGCTGCCTAGACTCCTCGTGCGCGCGCGGGGCCCCCGGGAGAATTCCCGGAGACGCCCAAGACAGGCCACGCGGGCTCTAAAGATGGCCAAGAGACCCTCAACAGACCCCGAAGACGCCCAAGATGGCCCGGGGTCCTGGCTTGGACACCCTGCCGGATTTCCCCCCCCGGGCCCTCCCCGCGCCTTTTGGGCTCACTCCCCCCCCTCCCTGGGGCTTCCTGGGCCCCCCCCCATGCCGACCAAAAGAGTTCCAGGGAGCACGACTCAGCGACAAGAGCGGCGCAATAGCGCCCAAGACGACCCAAGATGGCCTCAAGATGGCCGAAGAGCCCCCAGGAGGCCCCCAATACGCCCCAAGAAGGCTCAAAAATGCTCCCCCAGAGCGCCCCGGATGCCCAAAATTGCCCCATTCCCTTCGGAAACTGTTGCATTTTCAGCATACTCGCTTCTTTGGTTTTACAGCGTGCAACAGCGTCCAAGACGGCCCAAGAGGCCCCCAAGATCGTCCACAGACGGTCCAAGAGGCCCCCAAGAGAGCCCCAAGACGGCCCAAGAGAGCCCCAAGACGGTCCAAGAGGCGCCCTTGACGGCCTGAGATGGGCCAAAGGGGGGGAACTCCACCTCATATTCCGAGCCCCCCGCCCCAAGTCGACCCCCAGACCGCCAGTAGGCCTCCAAGAGGCCCAAAAGAGGGTCAAAAGAGGCCCCAAGAGGCCCCAAACAGCTCCCAAGATGCCCCCCAGAGGCTTCACAAGTGGCTCCTAGAGGCGCCCGAGAAGCATGCCAAGAGACCCC